AGACGAGATTAAGTAGTTTCTGAATTAGCGCTAGACTCGGAATCAACTAAACAACCCATAGATTTTCTTCCTCATTTAACTTTGCTCCGTCTCGTCGCGATAGCCCAAGATAAGTGGGGACCCGGATAGAAACGGAGAGTTTCGGGAGCTATTTACTAACGACATTTCACGAACAGCGTCGGCGGTTAAAATTGAGCTCTATAAATGTGTATTTATAACAACAGTCGAGTACTGCACTTTAAAATATATATTTTTTTATGTTTATAACATCCGACTCGAAGGACCATAAATAATATGTACTCTGCTATAACACAGATACTCAGGATGCTATGAGAATCCTTGAATATGACATTCTTTATAAATGATAATTTTCAGAGCTCACAAAAAAATATTTAATATAAACATGAGTTTACAATGATGCTTGAGTGTTATATGAATAGCAGCGAAATGCTGACGGTTGTACTGTGCGGTGATTAACCGTCTGCGTTATGTATAACATATTTGCACGGTATTTGTACATGACATATTGGTACAAAATTTAAAGAAATTACGTTACTCATATATCATTTAGCGGAACTGGATACATAAAAATTCAGGTCATTCGTCAATATGTGTTAAAGAAATATATATTTTCGATATTTTCCCTAGAGAAAGTTTTCCACAGTTACAGAACTGTGTTGTATAATATAGAGACAATTGTCTGTCTAGCCAACAGCATACAGGAAGAAAAAATAAAAAAAGTAGTAGCAGCGATTTTATAAATACATTTTTGAACTAATAAACTCTCTTAAATAGTAGGAAAACTTGAAATGTATTCAACGAGTGTGCAGAGGCTTTAGTAGACTATAACGTGACTCATTCGTTGAAACCACAGAATATATAGTAGTACGTTGAAACACAGAAACGCTATTTGCATTACTATCTTCGCGCAGATTTACCCGGGAATGACCTCAATCAGGCTCAGATAATGTCAGTTTAGAACTGTCATATTTGATAATTTAGTGTAGTAGTCCTCGTATATTAACATAATAAGTTGAAACGAAAAATGGGAATGAATCAATTTGGCCCAGATCAGTGGGGCCAATAGATATTTATAAGAATCTGATTGCTCAATTTGCCGATTGATTTGTCAGGCTCATGATCTTATAGATCAGATCGAACTGGCATGAAATCTTGTCGCCTAGTCAGCCAGTCAGTCAGATTACGTTATATACATATATTCATACTATTAATCAAATTATGTATATTATTCATTATTTATATAATTAACCGGGTCTTAACACGAAATAATTTTATAGTAAATAAAGGTTTTTACCTCTCTCAACGTTTAGACTAGGTTGCACCAGCCATAGACACGAGCTGCCTGGAATAACAGCAATGTCAATATCTACATTGGTGACAGCAATTTTATCATTCCATCGTCACTAGATTGCTCAACGAAAATTGGCGACACACATGTGAGAGGTAAATACCTTTATTTGCCATAAAATTAGTTCGTGTTAAGACCCGGTTAATTATATAAATAATATATATTAAACACGAAAGTATAACAATTATATTGCTCCATATTTTTCAAAATATACATTACGAATACAAAATGATGCATAAAAACAATATACAAAAATATATTAACAATGTGCTTCATAAAAACTTACATATCGCATCTTCAGGATATTACTAAAATGGAATTGAATCCAATATTCGGTACTTCTGCCAGGTACAAAATTTTGGAAGAGTTTTATTTGGAGAGAAAGCAGCGGATTAAAATGAAAAAAAAAAATTTTTCTATCGTAGTTATATAAGCAAAACAGAATATTACCAAAAAATAAAAGAAAATGTCGAACAAACCTAAGTCGACAACCTGAAAATTGCTTCCGTTATATATCGATTTACATCGATGTACTATATATTAAAAGGTCCTTTATATCAACTTCCTAATTTGATGTAGGCGAACTTCTAAATTTAAATTACGAACATAGGTGAGCTGAGCTCAAAGGATACGAATACAAAGACTTTCACGAGACTTCCGTCTAATAACACCAAGTAGGCAAAGAAGCTAAAAGGTCGTAAGTAATATCAAAGCAGCTTAAGCGCCAGATATTATACAATTGCAGGCCGTACTTGCGCAAGGTAACAACAATAACAACGAATATGCAAATCTGAAAGGCTGAAAAGTTACCCTATTTGGGCGTGTAGATTAAAGCTTATTCAAATAAACAAGAATAATGAATATACCTACCCATCCTTAACACTCGTACTGCGTAGAAATAGGTAACTATTTCTACGCAATGGAGTGTTATGAACGTATCTCTATGACAGAGATATAAATTGTTGTTACAGAGTTTTATACTCTTATTTTCATCCATGGTACTAGGTACCATACTACAGGTCTACTTTTAACGATTCGGTGTTTTATACAAGAACTTAAAATACGTACGTATTTATTTGTTTTTAAGACTAATCCTGTAAAGTCTCAAATGGAAATATCTGCTTAATATTATTTCTCCATATAATTTTTTATACACTATATACTGTAAACCGACACCTTAGGGATTGTATTTAAAAATATCCGTTCATATTCCTCGTCATCTATTAAATATATATAAGCATCATATTAGAACAAACTCTACAATGTCTCATAGAGATTCTAATATTCTTGTCAAATATAGTCCAGTTTTTAAGTTGTCGTCTAAAAAATGTATTGTATCACCATTAAAACTACTGGACGAATTCTTTCATTAAAAAAAATATTTTGAGTAAATATACATCAACAAATATAACTCTCTACGTCATACTTGTCGTATTACGAGTTGCTAAAATTTTACTCGAGTAATAACATCGCAAGTTGAACTTATTTAATATGTGAGCTTATTCAGTAAATACTATTGTCAACCGAAGTTATGAAGTACGGAAACAGATATTTCATTTCGTTGTAATTATACAAACTTAACAATGGGAAAATGATTTCTCTTCCACAATCATTTATAAAAACACAATATAAATTAAATGTCAAAATCAAAGCTCGCCACCTTTTCAGACAAATTCAACTTTTCTGTTGCATAAATTACGTTTATTATTTTATAAAACAAAGTCTTTCAAATCATTTCTATGTTTGCTCTGGTAAACAATGTAAAATTATTATGAAAACAATATAGGTTACATCAACGAAACATTTTAATTAATGTCGATGTACTTAATGAGTAATTTTTTCGAGGACACTGGGAGGTTATTAAACAAAAATAATAATACTATAATAATAAATAATTATTTAATACAAATTAATATTTATGTGTGTTTCTATTGAGTGCGTATGCATTAAAAGAAGAAGAATCAGAAATTAACTCTTGGCGAGTAAACAATCCAAATTGTAAGAATAATAACAGCCTACCAGTCTATCAGATTATGTTTATACAATACAAAGTCAAACGTCATCATCATCATCATCATTAATCACACATACGTCTAAATAAATAAAGTTTATTTTCGTTCCCACAAAACTTGTTGTACATAATTTTTGTTAAAGCTCACTAAAAATTACAGGATTCACTCACAAGTAAATTTTGGTTTTAGAAGAAAAAAACAAGTGGTATGTTACATTTATTCATCACGTATGGATGGTACAATAGTGATGTACTATCACAAATAATTATAAACCTCTATATATATTATTGATAATATATGTAAATGTACCCAAGAAGCCTCTTTTACGTACTATTTTTTATGGCCTTCTTAAATATATACATACTGGTACTTTACACATTGTAAATAGTCCACTAGACACTAAAAATAGCAATTATTTCTTAGACCGCTGCAAACTGCAAGTTTCTTTCCCACTAAAAAACAAATAACAACTTAATAAGTGCAGCATTTCAGTGTTCAAAAGTTTTATAAAATGAAAATTAAAAATAATGCTGTTGAAGAGAGCTCTCCCAGTTTTGTTTTCAGCCGCTCTACTGATGAGATGCGACGACGAACTTTGTTTTACCGTTTTATCTACTGAATGTGAATGTACAATCAGAATAAAACACGCGAATATTTTTATTTATGAAATATATCTGGCATATTATTACGCTGTTTTAAAAAAATCGCTATAAACGAAAAACGTACACAGCTTGAACTACTAGTATTACTTTTGAACGTAGGTTCTGGTATATACTATATTCAGGTATACTTTAAGGAATTTTGATATCTGCTGCAGTAGCTGCATAGTTAACTTATACAACATAGGAACCTACTTTTTTCAACTCGCCAACTCCGTTTGTTTAGAAATAAATGAATTATAACAGGCAAGAAACTCAACTGATTTTTTTTTATAATTAATCTATTATAAAAGTCTTATTTAGATGTCTATGTATAACATGAAATGAAAATCGGAGTGTATGAACAACTACTGCCAAGCACGTTTGTTATTTAGTAATTATTTTGTGAGTGGACTTTGTACAGTAAATATAATTTAACAAGTTTTTAATTTATCTTATTGCAATAGTTCTTAGATTATTATGTATAATAATACAGACACAATAAAATTATTTGTCATATGACGAAGACGTAAAAAAGTAAATAACATATTCCGAGGTAAATAAAATACAAATGAAGACCTATCTACTATTTCCGTGTTTTTGTGGAATAATAGGTACAAGCGGATTTATAAAACTAAATCCGATTACGTTAATTCTGTACGTGTAATTCCAAAATTCGTCGAATTTTCTATACAAAACATTAGAAAGATAAAATTGTAATTCTGAATCATTTTGATTAACTAGTATATCTGAAAATTAGATCAGTATCAAGTATACTAAATTAACAACAAAACTATGAAGAAAGTTCTAAATCTTGTAAATAAATTTTAATCGAATTTTTAGAATAACGTTTTATAAGTCAAATAATATAATTTTGTCACTAAGTCGAAGATAAAAGGAAACTTATTTTTACTGATTACTTTTAAAGAACTTTAGTGATTTTATAATTAAATTAAAGGTATGATATGATATGTAACTTACCTCCATTGCACTACCTCGTCGTCCCATGGCGATACGACATCGCCTCAATTGAACTGGAATATCTGAAAATACAAATACCAAATATATAATCAAAATCGTGGGAAGTGACAAGAGCTCCACCGACAAGAGCGTGGCGCTTAAATTATAAATGAACGAATGAATAAAATTACTTACATATATTGTAATGAAATGTGAGTAGTTTACAACTACGAAATAGTTTAGAAATTAAATAATATAGTAAATTGCAAACGGAAGTCAATACAAGACTTAATATATGTTTTAGAATTTTAAGCTGAGACTGATACTGGTAAATATATTTATACATCTCAGCATCATCACTTTATCCTATATAACTAACTATTTATTAATTAATTAAAAATAAGTTGACAATGAGAAGAGACGTAAAATTGATTTCTTAAGTTACAAAAGTGATAAACTTGATTGCCATAACAATACAAAAAGTATTCTTCATTGCTTCATTTACAGGAAAAGTTATTGTAGCTACCTCTGAATATAGTAGAAGCTCGATTTTAGACTGAAATTAAAACGACACAAAAAACAGTCTAACCTTTAACAATCGTATATTTATAATATTTGTTAACATTATACTTTATTAATATGTCGTAATAATTATATAGTACATTTTCCTAAATATATTTAAGATATACATATATATAAAGAGAAATAGAATACCACCAAATGGAGTTCAGTTTTTATCCCTTAGCGTGTAACTTAACATAAGTACTAAAACACGTATTATCGATTTTTAACATTCAATATCATAAAGTACTAATTAATGTCGCCAGTTAATAATAGAGAAGCTATTATTTTAATGGCGAAATGACAAACAACAGACATTATATCTGATTGGTTTCGCTGATATTGTGTTACGTACAGCTGGAATAAATACGGTTAAATTGAAATTTTCTAGTAAATCACGGTAGGGTACCGGCACCAGTAGTCAGCCTTTTAGTGGTAAGTCTGGGTTCAAACTTATATAAGAAAATATTAGAAAGAGTAAATTGAAAGTCTTTTGTATAATTTAACTTACTCATTTATATATTAACAAAAATTACAAATTTATCCTTTAATAAAGTGAAAAATACTTTATAACAAAATAAGGCACTTTTCACCAGTGCTCAGCCGCCAAAAACTAGTACTCAATATTGCCACCAGTGGTCAGCAAGATCAATAGTTTTAAGCTTAAATTAAGAACATTAATAAACAATTAGTCCGGTTATAGAACCTAAAAGGACTTAACTGTGCCCTAACAATCACAACAATCAAATACCTATCTAACTTATATTTAAACCAGTCGGAAACTTCTTTAGTAACAGCAGTATTTAAAAAAAAAGATTATAAGTTCTTCTTCTTCTTCTTCTTTGTAAAAGTCGCCGATTAACAATTTTTTTTAGGAGCTTATCTTCCTTACAGGTTTCTGTGTCAGGAGTTTCAGGAGATAGAAGTATATTACTGAGAATTTTAATTTTATTTTCTTTTGATTTCCACTAAATCACAGCCTGTCTTTGTGAATTTTACACTCAATTCCTTATCATATTCATAATTTTTCTTCTTTGTAGTCTCCTTCACTTTACTTTTGGTAGAATCTAGATCTGCTTTTTTTCTTTTTTTTTGTATTAAAAACTATATAAAAAACAATTTAAATATGGACGGTAATACTGGGTCTACTTTCAAGTACTCAGCCAGGCAACAAACTCTAACTATTTTAGTGGCCGACTATTGGGTTTTTGACAAACAGCGTTAAAACCAGTAGTCAGCCAGGGGTGGTTGAGTACTAGATAATGTATATAAAAATGGAACCCAGTAGTCGGCCACTTCATTATTTAATAATTCTTAAGAAAAACATGATACTTTTCATTGATTACAATGCCAAAACTCTTAATTAATGTAAATTTTAATACAATGTGGCCTAAAACTAACAAAAAAATTAAATAAATTACCATTTCTGTGAACGCTTCTCACTAATAAAAAAATGGCGCGCACGCCGCATGTCGCCTCGTCAGCCGATGACGTCGAAATAGATTCATATTTAATGTACTTCGCAGCCACGTAGCTATTATGTTTGGATTTAATTCTACCAATGAGAAGTCATAGAAGCAATTTAAAATAATTTGATTAGGTATTTTCTGTTATAGCGCTATTCCTATTGGTTTTAAACCGAAAAAGGCTGAGTACTGGTGCGGGGCCGACTACTAGTGCCAGTACCCTATACAGGGATATCTATAATGTTGACATATATATATACTTCCTTTATATATCAACAACAATAGGTTACTTTTTAATTTTGTTATCAGATCTAAATATACAATTTTAACTATTACAAATAAACCACTATTTTTATAAGAAATTTGAGACCTTATCAGGACATTTGCCTAAATCTATTAAACTTTAATTTTATATCCTTACTTATTCTGTTGTTACTTGGTATGTACATCTAGTTTTAACTTATTAAACGGATCATCAAGAAAATCAAGATTACAAACAGAAACTCAAATTTTATTTATATGTCAAAAATCCACATAGCCGTATGTTTGAGTTTAACATTATTGCTGTATAAAAAATGTACATAATATACAAATGTAGTAATATGGCTCTAATTTAATCGCTATCCACGTCTTGACTCATCACTCAACTCAACTCAACATTGAAAATTCTAATGAATTCGAGTCTATTTATATAAAAGAGGAAGGATTTATGCTACTGTTATAAAATGCGGTAAAAATGCTTTAGTATAAAAATCCGTATATTCATTATATCAGTTATAATTTATTGTATTTCAATTAGGGCTTGACAAAAAGGTGACTATTCCAAATGTTTTGTGTTATTCGTCACGCTGTTCATAATTTGAGAGAAAGTGACTAGTCACTAACAGTGACTATTAATTGATAGCTGCCATAGAATAAAAATCTATATTTAATACTATAAATTTAATTTTACTCGTAGAGAAAACTTTCTTTTTCGAAATTATTTTATAGAATAAGCCTTAAAAATTTCTTAGTACAATCAAAACTTGAAATTTGACTACATATCTTAATGCTAAAAGATTACAAAAAAGCTAAAAAAGTTATTAGTTGAAAAGGATTATAACCTGATATTTCTTTATATTTTCATTTTAAGCCCATGAAAACTTTATAGCATTTTCTATACATTTTGATGATCAGCGGATGAGTATATAATAAATTTGATGGGCCGTACCTTTTTATTACTTTGACTTAGAAACTTTATACTGGTATATAAATTTTAATAAACATATAATTTATTTACAGTCTTATATGATATGTACATATGTCTGAAATATATCAAGACATTAATATATAGATAAATAAATAATAATTCAATCATTCATTAAAAAAAGTAAATAAAATATCTTTGACATCTAGAAGACAGATAATTATTGGTCTGTCGTATTTCATATACTTTTTTTGCTTAGAAAAATAAGAGTAAATAAAAATCATGTTTAAATAACTCTTTCTTTAATATTTTATCAGGCGTGTTCGTTTCTATTAATAGTTTGATTTGTTATGACGGCTGATAACATAACAAAAAACTTTCTGTCAATACAAAAAGAATAACTTTGACTTGTTAAGAAAAAAGAAAAAAAGCGGCCAATATGTTTTTATATGTATCGCGACAATCCACGCAGTTATGATAGCTATATTTTTCAATATTATTATCTCGATTATGATCACAAAATATATGTAGATACAGGGCTGGCAAAACTGGCCCATAAAGCATATTTATAGGCTACATTACTATTACAATATGGGCAATATATACATAACAATGTACGTATGTATACTTGAATTGGGTTATCTTTTTGTGTAAGTTTGTAATGTTTTTTAAGTGATTGATGACGTATTTCATTGTTGATCATATCTTATTTCTACAATTTTTATTCCTACAAAAAAGTTCGGTATGGTTGTACTGTAATATATTATTACTATTTTACCGCTTTTGGTATAGATACAAAAATATAAATTTATATATATCCTATGCCTATACATCTCAGATGATATGAAGTGGAATAAATAATCAAACAGAAACATAGGTACCTAATCGAACGAAATTAAGTTAAAACCGAACGAAGAAGAATTGAATGAAAACGAACAACACAGGGTTCGGCTAAAAATTGTGATTTTTAATATTATTAATAATTTAGTTTAATAGTTTAATACCATTTTTACTAAAATCATTAAGAGCAATTATGTTTTGTTTTCAGTGTGGAAAATCCTACGACCATTCAATCACGCCGAGGGCAATGTATGAGGGTGTCACGGGGTCACATTAGCACTCTACCAATGATCCAGTGGCGACGGCCCGCTCTGTAGATGTCATTGGACAAATCTCTTCTCTAACAAGGGCAAACTAGTTACTAAGTTAAAAAGCCTTCACACAACCCTAAAATCAGGAACAATATTGGAGCATTTGTGGTGAAAGTACAATCAGCCTGGCGGGATCACTACATGGAAGAAATCGGTTCTGGTTACGGTACACACGAGGCGATCTTGAAAGTAATGGAGACCACTCCCTACAACTGCTCCGATTTTGCCTCTGATTTTAGTGGCGTATATATATACTACTTTAGCCCTATCTTTCTATATGAACAAAATCATTCTTGAATATTCAAAAGCGGCATCCCTGCTTTAGTGGGTGAATTACAACTACTTAATCATTATAATAGTTTACTATAATTAAATAGTATTTATTGATCTACCTAATGACAAGCAGACAAGGATTTTACCCGCGGGAATTTTGTACACAAACACATAGTGTTAATATTACTTTCAAATAACTATAACATAGCTGTGTATATTTAAACTGTAAAAGGAAAATTCCAATAAAGCATTTCATTGTTATCGACATCGACATACTTAGAACATAATGAAATACAGTGTGTTCGCGTGACAACCCTGACAATTCAAATTACAATCGGCATGAACAAGCGCGCCCTAATGATTGGGGGAATTAGGCAAAACATTTTATTATATCAGAAATATTGTGCCACTGATGTTCTTTTACTGTGTTTTCATTATTAGAAGAT